CTCGTCAAAATGTGTGCCCTTTTGTGACAATTCTAGTGTGGCCCCATCACACTTGCTATCTACCCCGACCTCTCTCTTTCTATCGGCTTATCCGACTCGGGCCTCCAATCCGGTTCTCTTTATCGTCTCGTGAATCTGTACCTTATCTTTCTGGTTGATCGATTTCACTCGGTGCCAGTTCCTCTGTGCAGTTCACTCCAGGCACTATTTCTCAACACCCTAGAAGCACGTACACCGCCGCTTCACTGAGCAGAGCGCCTACGCTCTCATTGCCATGCTTGCAGATATCAGGCCTTTCCTTCACGAGTCCTCTCCTTGATTAAACCCACGTTATCTGAGCAAACTGTGGACGTCTACCTCTGGTCACATGCGGCATCTCAAGTAGATTTCTAGTGCATCTTGGGCATAACGCCTAATTTCCGTGACGGTTTGCTTATCCGTCTACCCAGCTCCCTGACTGCCAGGCCCCCAAAGTTGAACGGGTTTATTCGAAATGGGCATCACTCACTGACGACGTCTTCGCTTTATTGCTGAAAACCCCTTCCCCCTAGTTTCTTCCTCGCGATGCCTTTACCTCCTGTTAGCGGTAGATCCTTGATCCAGGCGTCTCCTTTTCGCTGGTCTTGCTCCATTATTGTTTTCCCCGAGTTTGCATAGGCAGTAGACAAAGTTATCGTTAACTCTACCTTCCTTTAATCTCCTGTTCACTAAATTGTTCTCCCAAAGGATGTCAACGGCCTCCCTAATCTTGCGCTTCCTTGTGTTGTTCCCGTATGGAGCTCTTCTTTCTGTTGCCTTCAAATTGATCTCGTGTCCAGTTCGTGCGATGTGTTTCGCTAGTTCTGATCTTTCAGTATCCATTTTCCTGCTGAGCCTCTGATGTTCCTTGATTCGTGTTCTAATTTTTCTCCCTGTTTCGCAAATATATTTCCGATCGCAGCCGCCGCATGATATACAGTAAACTCCTGAACAATCCAATTTGTCTACTCTTTCATGTTGCGTTGGTAGACTTGTGAAAAATGTTGATTTCTCCTTCATGACCACCTGAATATTCCATTTACTCAATATTGGCCGTAGTTTTTAAGTTAGCTCGCAACAAAGTAGGCATATCCATTTTTGTGAATCCTTCATCGTCCTTACTGTCCTTTTATAGTCCCCGTTCTGCCATCGGCTTTTCACGGCCCGTATGTTTCTTTGTATTACTTCGCTAGGGGAGCCATTCCCGAGGAAGATCCTCTTCAATTTGTCCAGCTCCTCGTCTCAGAATTTTACATACGTTAAGCGTAGGCTTCGGATGATCATGCTCCTCATTATTCCAATCTTCAGCCTGTAATTGTGATGGGAGCGGAAATTGAGTATTATCCTAGCATAGGACTTCTTTCTGAACAATTTCTTTTTGAGCGTCCCATTATAACGAATCACTTCAACGTCCAGGAACGGTAACCGCTCACCTTCCTCTACTTCAATCGTGAATTGAAATTTTTCATCAATTTGATTTTCAAATTTCAGAAACTCTCCCAGTTTTTCTCTTCCATGTGACCAAAGTGTGAAGTAATCATCCAGGTACCGTATGAGCACTGCCGCTTGTAGCGGTGCCATCTTGAAGCTCTCTTTTATTTTGTTCATGTATACGTATGCCAAAAGTGGTGAGAGCGGCGATCCCATGAAAGTCCAAATATTTGTTCATAGATGTTCCCGTTGAATGTAAAATAGGTTGTCATTATTGTTAAGTTGATTAGTCTTGTTAAGGACTCCCTACCGATCCGTTGTGATTCCAGGATATCATCCTCTCGGTCAAGGATTTTCAGCAGAGCCGTTAGCGCATTTTCTCCAGAGATATTTGTATACATGGATTCCACATCGAAGCTTACCGATTAGTCTGTTTCTTCAAGTGCCATGTTTTTGATTTTTTGAGAAAATTAATATGAATATTTCACCGTGTTAGATAGCCTTTTATTTAATTTCTTGAGTTTCAAACATATAAACTTGCCAACTGTGTGTTGCTCCATACTTCTTATTGACTATCAGCCTTAATGTTTCGCCTTCTTTGTGTATCTTTGGTAATCCGTATGCTGTTGGTTGTCCTGCATCCTTTCTTATGATTAAATTTCTTGTCCATGTGTTCCTCTGTCTAGGTCTGTGATGTGTCAAGATCTCAATCTCTATTTCCCGTTATGTCTCCCAAGGGAACTCGTCGGTGATATTGATAATCTCCACCAGGATATCTCCTAGAAGGCTTCTGTGATGTTGAATTGAACAATGGAGTCCTTTTTCCAGGAACGCAGTTGTTTCGGGATTGAGAGGAATTGATGATAAGTTTAATACTTT